GGGGAGGACTGCCCTCTCCCTGCCGCTGGCTCTTCTCGAAGTGTTTAATGGACGACTTTCCTCTTATTCTAGAATTGTACATAGTGGGAGTCACGCACTGAAGGGCAAACCGCCTACGGGTTCATTGGTTTGTACTCAGTTTGGCTGGCTTATCTGATTTCAACATGAGTTATTTTTTAAAATTGATTTTCTTTCCTCATTTTTTTTCCAATCAAATTTACTGTAACGTAAAGTATTCAACGATTTCAATAAAAGATAAATTATTACCTGGGTGTCACTGCTTTTTCCCCTGGAGAGTGGGACGCTGCCCGCCTGCCCTCCCGTGAGGGTTCCGGGGCCGCGTTCGGGCTCAGCTGCAGTGGGCGGTGACCCCTCACGCAGCACCTCCGTCCTCTCTGGTCGTCCCCACGTGCGGGACTGGCTGGGTGCGCCGTGCTCCTCAGCGTCACCCACGTCTGGGCCGGGCCTCTTTCCAAGAAGGCAGATGCGGGGGTTCCCCGTTCACCAAAGCAACCCTGTGGGTGGGTCCCCCGGTCCCGGGAGGTGGCCTGGGGTGCAGCCTGTCGGGGTGGCTTCTCCTGCACACACCCGTCTTCCCTCTGGCCACTGACCAGCCCGCTAGGTGCTCACGGGGAAGCAGACAAAGCCGCCCCGTCAAAGCAGGCTTCCCTTCATCCCACTTGCTAATGATCCGATTGGAGTTCATTCCTTATTACATTTTTTAGGGTTCCACAATGTTGTTGAAGTATCAGAACCACCGGAACGGTGCTTCTGACCCATTCCTCCTCCTCCTTCTTTTTAAAAAAAAAATGTATTTTTATTGATTTCAGAGAGGAAGGGAGAGGGAGGGAGGGATAGAAACATCAGTGATGAGAGCAGATCATGGATCGGCTGCCTCCTGCACGCCCCCTGCTGGGGATCGAGCCCACAACCTGGGCATGTGCCTTTGACCGGAATCAAACCCCGGACCTTTCAGTTTGCAGGCCGACGCTCTATCCACTGGGCCAAACTGGCTAGGGCTCCTTCCTTTATTCTCCTCATTCGAGTGCTGGCATGTCGGGTTTGCTGAAGCCAACCCCAGAATGTGACCTTACTCAGAGATCGGTCCTTGCACCAATGACCAAGTGACAGCGAGGTCGGCGGGGTGGGCCCTAACCCGCCATGACTGGTGTCCTTGCAGAATGGAGACCTGCAGACACAGACACACACAGAGGGAAGCGGATGCGAAGACACGGGGGAAGGACAGTCAAGTGCGAGCCAAGGCGAGCAGCCTGGACAGCCCTGCCCTCAGCCTCAGGAGGAGCCCACCCTGCCCACACCCTGATCTTGGACTTCTGGCCAAAGAGCGGTGAGGCAGTAACCCTCTGTTTCACCTCCCAGCCCACGGTGCTTTATTACGGCCGCCCTAAGAGGCGCACCCAGACACTACAGGCCCGGCCCCGGCCTCCTCGCGGGGCCGGGCAGCGACGACACACACGG